CGCACAAATATGTCTTAACTACGAACATTTGTTAAATATATTCGAAATGTTTTGAAAACTAGAATTTTTCGCTAGGTGGGACATATATGTCCCACTGGGACTCAAAGGGTTAATAATTCAAATTAATTTTATCATTTTCGAAAATATATTTTTTTTGCTTGATCGAAATAGACTAAAAGTAAGTGTCTTGTTCTTAAAGAACGCAATAAATATTTCTCTCAAGATATTTGCTTTACCCTTATCCATTAGTATAACAATGTATATTACCGTTGGTCTAATTGTTTCTTTTTCTTCGTTTCAAATCGATTAAAAAAGAAGTAAAAATCGTAGGTTTTATTCCGTCAGGGTGTTAAAAATTTCCTGTCTTCTTTATAGTAACCGACAATATATATATATGCGGCTCGATCTACTTGTTTTTCATCATTAACAATAGTTTATTATATCTATACATATGTCAATTATTTGTTCTTCTTTCTATTTTAGATGCTTTCCAAGAAATCAATGGGAAAAACAGCTCGATCTCATAGTATATATGTGGCAGTAGAACGTGATTATGACCGAATGAAAATTCAACAAAAACAAGACACTAAACAAGAAAAAGATCATCATAATCTCGAACGTAGAATGATGGCAAGTACAAAATGGAATCAACCTACGAATCAAAAACCATCAAAGCAAAATCATTCATCAAAAACGTTAGACGAATTTATGCAAGATAGAAAGCTTCAAGAAGAAAATATAATTAATGCAAAAAAAATGGCTAATGAAAGAATTCGTCGTAATTAAATAACATTTGTATAAGATTTTATTCTCAATAAATTCTTACTTTTTTCGATTAATAACAAGACCTGATAACCAATCAAATATCATTTGTTTTGAATCAATATTCCAATATTGTTCAGTTAAATCTAATCGTTTATCAATTGATAATTGACGATCAGTTAATTGAGTATAAAGAGCTAAAAGAAAAGACTTTTTTTAGTTTTCTTAAAAATTAATCTAAAACAAACTTACTTTCACCTAATTTCATGTTGTTGTTGTTTTTTATGGAGAAAAAAAGAATTATCTACAAATAAGAAAATAATTAGATTTACGCACAACATATAAACAATTTAATAAATCACAAAACAATATTTAAAATATATGGACGTTGTTTGTTTGACTATATCATAATTCTTAGATTTATATATTGAATCTAAATAGAAAAAAAAAGAACAATGATTAGTTATCGCTTGTATTGAAGACGAATATTTCGTAAATATGCCTGAACATCGTCCACAGGTAGTTTTTTTATTTTACAAATCACTAACGTTTTATATAACACGGTGAATTACTACTATATCTGACTTATATAATACAAGTTGTCGACGTGTTGTAAACAGAGTATTCTATTTATAGGCAAGTATTATGAATGAGCAATGATCTTGAGATCAGTAAAGATCGGATTTTGTTTTTGATAGTCATTAGAAAAAAATGAATCTAGATTTAGCACTAAGAAGCTATTTAAATAAGACACGATCTTATTTCTCTCTCTTTCGCATAATGAATGATAAGTTTTAGCAAATGCAATTTATCCATAGTTTGTTAGTGAATCTAGACGATGCAAAAACCGATACGTTCTATCATTAGCAGCATTTTTTTATGATTAAAACATGAGAAAGCAGGATGTATTCTCTTACATATATGTCGATTCTAACCTTCAAATAAAGACTTTGTCATCTAATCCATTGCAAAAAATTGAGGGTGTGGATATTATGTCCATCTCACATCCTTATAATATTCTAATAACCGTTACACCACCCTCAAAATATGAAATACCTCTTTTAAAAACGATTAGAATCAATTCATACATTCTATATTAATCATCATCTTCCTCTTCATTATTTCCAGCTAATTGTTGTCTTAATTCTTTAATTTGTTGATTTTTTTGTTCAATAATTCTTTTCATATTCATATATGTATTTGTTTGATTAAATTTTTTTTCTAATTCATTTTCAGCTAATGCTAATGCCTGTTGAACATCTTTTAAACGTTTTTCATTATGTTCGATTTGTTGAGTATACGTTGCTTCTTTATTACTAAATGAACGTGTATGTTCTTCTAATTGTTGATTTAAAAATTCGTCATCTTTTTCATATTTTGATAAACGTTGTTTTAATGATCCATTTAATTGCTGTAATTTTTGAATTTCAGTTTTTAAAAGTATTGTTGATTTTGTATCATTAATTGGATCCATTATTGTATCTATTGGGAAAAAAATTAATAATAACATAAATATATTTCATCTTACTCATATCTTTATTTGTTTTCGATTTTTTTGTATTAATTTGTTGTTGTTCATAATCTCGGATAAGATCAATTAAACGACGATTTTCTAATTGATCAAAATTTGGATTTAATTTAAGAAACCATTGTTCAGCTTGTTGAAATAATTGTTTAATTAAAAGTGTATTAACACGATATTGATGTGTAAATTCTTGTTCAAATTCTTTTTCTAATATATCAATAAATTCTTCTAAAAGATCACTAACTTCGTTTACTGTCATCATAGCTTCATCAGATAAACGTTGAGTTTTAAAATCTTCAGCTGCTGAGTGAAACGATCGTAATCCAGTTGTTTTTTGTTCACGAGAAAAACGTACATAATGACGAAGAATTTCTTCGTGATATTCATTTACATCAAGATCATGCGAAGATGAAGCCATTAATCAATTTAATCAAGTACGAAATTTCTAAAAATAGAAAAATCACTTTTGATATCTTCGATGAATATTTTATGTTTAATGTTATAGAACAAGATGATATTTAGAGGAATTTTAATAAATTTTTAGATTTAGACTTGTTCTCTTTTTTTTCTCGTATACATTGGATGTGATAGAAATCCAACCAGGCAATGCAATAATACCTTTAAATTGACGAAAGATGGCGCTTATATATTGATGATTAGAACAGTTACAAGTATAATCATCCATAAAAGATGTTCAAAGAAATAACTATAAAACAAGAGTTAATCTTTCCATCATACCCGAAAAATGAGGATTTAATAAATAATTTAAAAAAAGGGTAATTTTCCTTCAACGATCTTGTGTCTCCAGTCGATCTGACTATAGATATATTATTAACCGATTTTCTTTCCATAGAACATTCAATTTACAAAAGAGAAAACTCCTCGAATGCTTAACCGGATCTCTTTATTAGCCGATTTTATAATTTAAGTGATTGTTTTGTAATCCGATGTATAATCTGAGTGGTTTACAGTCAACTTTGAACTATACGCAACCAAAGTAAACACATGATTCTATTTATTCTTCATATAAAAAAATATTAGTTCTATTAATAATTGTAACTCATTACTATACTTATTTACCTCTCATTTATCGGAATTAAAAAACGCAAATTTAGTTAACATCAATAACAAATTTTTTCATACATGATTAAAATAATTATATACGAAAAAAATATATACTTTTTCTTTCTTTTAATCTTATCGAGTGGATTTATTACGTCGCAATATGTATTTTTCTTCATATAAATATGCATGGAAGTATACATTATATCAGAATATTCAGAACATGGCCTATATGAAGTATATTATTTTTTTACTTAGTGTAATATGTATTACAGGTAAAAATCATTTTTCTTGTTATTATTCTTTGATAACGAAAACCATTAATAGATGCTGCTGTTACATGTGGAACTAATGAATATATGGAACGATGTGGACGACCATTTTCATGTCAACCAACATGTGCTGAACCGAATCGAACAGTAGTATGTTCAATGTTTATATGTGCAAGAGGTTGTGAATGTAATAAAGGATGTGTACGAATGACAGATCAGGACGAAGACAATCCATGTATTGAAATTGCTCAATGTCCTGGACAAATAATCAATAAATGAGATTTAAATACGATAGAATTTTTATATATTCATGCCTAACATTTCGATCATATCTACATTTGTGGGTTTATTTTCATTGTTATCTACACTTTATATATATATAATTCAATAAAATATCAATACTTTAATTATTTATTTCGTTTGATATAAGATCTTATTAGTTGAAAGAAATCTTATTTTATAGTACATGTTAATAAAATCAGTAGGTATTGATTATAAGCGTCAAAATTTGGTGTAATATGCATGATAACCACAAAATTAAGTAGACTACTTGGGAATATTTTATTTCAAAAAAGAAGAAGAAGAAAGTCATAATTAAACAAGTGGATAAAGAGCGGATGTAGCAATTCCACATTGATTTTGTTTGTTTCGACTCATTAGTATGTAACCTTCCATTCCCCAATTTTTACCCCACGAATTTTTAACAATATAATAATCTGTAGAATTTAATGTACCATAACCGACCGCTAAAACGGCATGATCAAGTCTTTTTGTTGAGCAATTAGGTTCATCATACACTCCTCTTGAATAAAATTGAAATGAACCTTGTGAAGCATCGATAGAGACTGCTATTGGACCGACTGTAGCAATTGCAGTTTGAAGAGCTACTTCATTATGCTTTTCTATTCGAGTATAACCCTAAAATAAATAACAAACAATTAGATAATCGTTTATTTCCACTTTAAAGATAAATGTTTACTGTCAGATTAGCACCAATATCTTGTTTATGGGACTGACATAATTCGCGGTGAGCAAAATATGGATAACTTTGTTCAGTATCAATTCCATGATGGAGTTTAATATAATCAAAGGCAAGATCCTGATTACCACCATTGCATCCAAAATTCAGATGTGAACAATCAACTAACTGTTGTTCGGAAAGTGGAACAAGTTTTGATGTTTTTGCAAAATGTTGTCCTTCAAGTGCACCAGTTGTTGAAAAAGCCCAACATGAACCACATTGACCTTGATCTTTTACATATGTTACATAACCTTTTGGACGCCAATCTATATTTTCAAATTAGACAATATATCAAACATAGTAATAACTAATTTACCAACACTATCTGGTAAAACAAAATCAGCTGGTGCTGAAAATGTTTGATAACTGTTTGGATTTATTTCGTTCTCTGAGCTCATTTTATATCCATTCATTTGTTTTCGAAATTCTTCATTTGTCTTTGAACAAAAAAATAAAGATTTTATCTAGTTTCTTTTTGTATATATTTACCATATCACCAAATTTATTCATTTCAAGTGTATAACTATGAAGACCAGTATCAAATTCAAGATTATGCTGATGAATCATTGCTACATTGCTTTCCCAGATTTGACGACTATATTGATACAATTCATTTATTTATTTTTTCAAATTAAAATTTCAACAAACCGATTTATTTCTTCTTTATTCGACAAATATTTTTTTTCATAAGCACGTTTAAATAAAGACCAAGATTCATTCGACGTTGGAAAACAGTGTACACTTATAAGAACGACACATAAAAGAATTAAAGATTTCATTATCGATATACTTCGTCACGTCCTTGAAAAACAACTTGAAACTAACTGTAATGATGATCGGCGTTAATACTTATATATATATATATTTTTCAGATAGGAGCATCAGCATTACATTGTATATTATTGACACTTTTTTTGCTTTCTCAAGGTGAAGAAAAAGAAAGAGATAATAAATATAACTATCTGAAATGAGTGACTCTGCAATTTTGAAAATATGGATGTAAATAAATCAAATCAAATCAAATTCATAACACTGCTATTATTTGTATGAGAATGATAGAGTGAAATGAACATTTCGATTCAATCTAGTTTTTCTAATTTTTATAAGACAAAAATAGAGCACTGTGACGTTCTATGCGAAGACCGTCCGAATTCCACGCGAGGGGTGTAATTTATATTTAGCTTTCATTGCCATTCGTTATCTTTAATGCTTGGGTATTTAAACATGTGTTTTATATGTAATCGATATGATTGTTGATATGAGGAATCAAATAAAGTGTAATTCGATCAGCACTCACTCTTTTTTCTATCTAAAATCGTCACAAGCATATTTTCATTATAGAAGGATTTATGTATGTACAGGGTGGCTTATCAATAACATCCCTATAAGAAATTTAAATAGTTCCAATAGGATGTGGGTGTGGATTAAGAGAAGATAGATATACCCACACCCTCATAGGTTTTCATGCAATATGATTTATAATAAGCACAAGTTTAGCAGAGCATATATTATCCTCATCATATCACAATTCGTTAAGAGATCTTTATGAAGAATAAAATCTTGTTTTATTATAGAAAACAGATAAATGATTAACTATTTCAAGAGTAAAATAAAAAAATAAATGGTTAACTATTTCGAGAGTAAAATAAAAAGATAAAAAATTAAAATAAAATTTAGTCCGTAAGTTATATTTGCGAGGATTTCAAATTATCAGCAAGTGCCTGTTGATGGATATTGAAATATTATTTCACTACATAATCGAGTATATCCAGCACCATCAAATTGTGCACCTTGTTCGTAATAGATATTATGCGATCCACCACCTTGGGAATAGTAACGTGAACCAGCTTTAAGAAAAACTGTGCGACTACCTCCACCACCGCCATAAACAACAGCATTGTTTCCTAAGTAAGAGTATCCACCACCCCAGCCACCATATGTAATATTAACACCAGCACATAAAGCAATATCAACATGATATGTTGTTTGAACAGATGAAGATGATGATGAATAGATAACGACAGATGATGGAATTTTAACAAGACAGGTTGTATTTGGTGCTA